TAATAAGAAGAAGAAGAAGAAGAAGAAGAAGAAGAAAAAGAAGAAGAAGAAGAAGAAAAAGAAGAAAGAAGTGAGCGTATACCGACACCGGGGACGACTTGTGTATCATTATCCGGACACTTGTGATAGCACCTAGCTTCATGAAATGACGACTACAAGTTGTTACCAGGACAGCGAACGCCCCCTGGCATTTGCTCGAAATTTGTGCCTCGACATACCGACCTAGACAAAAACAGGGCAGTCGCCCTTCGCCGTGAACCCTGCGACATGCCGTAAAGGCCAGTTGACTTTTAAGCAGACGCCCAAGAAGTTTGGGGGGTCACCTAGATAATGATCTCGATGTGCCAGTTCTCTAAAAAAAAAAAAAAAAAGTTTGAAAGGTGACATCTATCTGTACGGTTTCAAAATAGAAGTTACATCGTTTGTGAATTTACACAGCCGATTATCGCCCACATTTCAGTAAACAACAAAAAAATAAGACAGAGCTGAGTGGAAGGAAAGTGGGCTATTAATTTTTTAACAGGAAGTTCGGCCCGGGACACGTTCAGTTTAGTGGACCCAGCCCAGATAGAGGCTTCTGTTTGGCAACAATACACATAATTACAGATAACAAGAGGGTGAGACTCCCTAACAGAGCTGATAGGATGGGACGTCGCACAAAGATTCTATTGAAGCATTTAAGACACGAGCTATGACCAGGGCTGTCCCGATAGTGTAAGTGTAAGAAGAATGAGGAAGAACAAAAATAAAGCGATATGAATAAAACAAATAAACAACTTTCTGTCGCACTTTAACAGCGGGTAAAACCCCTTTCTTTCCCACAGCGAGATACGCTATAAATAATCGAGCTACAATAACACGCCCGCTTACGCCCGAAAGAATTAAAACCCAGTCTCTTAGCAAAAACTTTGACGGACTAGATTTTGTTGACTTCCAGACCCCGATGGAAAGCTAAAAGCTAAAAACGAGCAAGGTTCCGGGTAAATAACGTTTATCTTTTACGGGATAAAATTTTCTTTCTTTGCCTTTTTTCTAATATTTAAAAAAAAGGAAAGATCCTGTTGCACATTTCATTGCTCAGGACACTGGCAGGTCACATGTTGGACTGGGGTGTTCCAAGCCAAGGTTATGGCGCACCAGACAAAACTGGGAACTGAAATGTTTCCGAGAACAGCTTTGAGTGTTAAGAAGAGAATACTGGCTGACTCAGTCGGTTTAAGGTTTGTAGCTGGTATCAATTGTGACCTGTTAAGCATGTTGTGCTCCATGAAACAAATACTCCCCCCCCTCCCCCCAAAAATGCAAGCTATATCAAGATAATGACATTAGAGAGTTTTAAATTTTGTATCTCTTTATGAAATGCAGTTCTTACCAAAGGACGG